CTTCTTGTCAACTGACATTATTTTCACTGTCACTCCTGGTGTTTGATAAACTGATGTTTTCCCAGCTACCATCAGTTCTGAGGAAGGGTCACCGGACCCGAAACGTTAACTCTGATTTTTTTCTTCACAGATGCTGCCAGACCTGCTGGGCTTTTCCAGCAACTTCTGTTTTTGTTCCTGATTTACAGCAACCGCAGATTTTATTTAAAGAACAGAGGATGCTGGAAATCTGAAAGAAAAACAAAAATTGCTGGACAACTCAGCAGTTCTGGCAGCATCTGTGGAGAAAAAGTTAATGTTTTGAGTCCATTGACCCTTCTTTAGAATGTTCTCCAGCAATTTCTGTTTCATTAAAGGTTTTAGAAAAGTCAGTAAGTTTTCGACAAGGTGACTGTAGTGAAGCAGCTGACAACTACTTTACATCTACAACTGTCGTGTTGGGCTGAACATGCATCTTGGTGGCACTAATTGGAAGTTGGGACTTCTTAAAATTCTTTCATGGGATTTGTGAGTGTCGATGCATGGACTAACATTTATTGCACATTTTCAATGCCCATGAATAGGTGGTAGAGCTGATTACTTTAACTACTGCAGTCTGTGTGGTGTAGGGTACACCTACAATGCTATTAAGAAGGGAGTTCCAGAACTTTGTGCTGGCAACAGGGAAAGAACAGTCCACTTTTCATTGCACTGTAGTTAGCTTCATGCTAGAACTCATGACTTTGGCTCCAGTCCACAACTTTCTCCCTATTAATTCTCTTCTTGTGTAACGTCTTCTTAAATGTTGCTCCATGTAGACTTAATTCCATGATTTTTTAGCTTTATCAGCCACCTGAAGTCGTTACATTTTATATCCTAATGATTTCTTTATGTATCAAGTACTCTGAAATTATGATTCCATGCTATGGTTTTAATGTAAAAAAATTGGAAGTAAGGTTTTACAATTTCCTTCTTTCAATTCTTGGGCTTTGGCATTCAAGAATCTCTTATGCAGCACTTTACTGAAGTGCTTTTCAAAACCCAATTATCCTACATCTGCTGCAGTCTCTTAGTAAATGTATTTCCTTCAGGTTAACTTAGTCCAGTGTAAACTGACTTCTACAAATCTCCATGAACAGCCCTTGATTAGTCCCTAGCTCTTTCTGCTGAGGCAGAACATTTGAGCCACTAAAATTTTTAACAAATAAAAGGTTCTTGCTTGGAAATGCAGCCTAGCATTCTATTCATTGATTAAAAAAAACAGCTAAAAGATAAAACTGGAGGCAGAAGAATAATGACTGAACAAAAATCAGAGGATATAAGAACTATTAGGAAGAACAGGCCATTTGGCCCCTCAAGCCTTCTCCACTATTCAGTGATATCGTGGCTGATCTGATTGTGGTTTCAACTTCTATCCCTGCCTTACCCTCCTAACAATTGATTCCCTTGTTGATCAATGATATATTCAATGCCCCAGTCTCTGCTATTTGCTGGAGAAGGGAGGAGTAGGAAAGGCTGCAAGGAGGGATATTAACAGTCAATGAGGTAACTGTCCAGTTGATGCAAATGCAACAATAAATTAGTTATTTTGAAGCTTAAAATTATGATTTCCATTAATTTTAAGTTGAAGAAAGGACTAAATGTAAGGCTTAGCATAATTTATTAGCCACCAAACATTGCCTTAAATTAAATCTGGCTAAAAAGCTCTCTAATCAAGTACATTCTCAGTAATAGAATCATAGAATGATGTAGAACAGAAGGAGACTATTCAGCCCATCATGCCCTTGCCAGAATTGAAGGGCAGCTCCAGAATTTGAAAGTGCCTGAGGAAAATTTGAAGGAACAGATTGAGGAATTGATGAGTACATTGAACGAGTCCAAAGACTAATCAATACACATGGAGCAACATGTCTACAATGAACTGAAAGCTCATGGGAAGTGGTCAAATTTGTGAAAGGGTTTCATAAATGACACTGAAATGAAGAAACAAAATCAAACAGAGCAGTTACTCAGCTGAATGAATAACCAGGGAAAGAATTGGAAAATAAGAAAGTAAACAAATATATGGCGGGAAGTTTTGAAGAAGATAATTTTGAAGTACTTTGTAAATCTTACATACACTTCTTCTGTAGAAACCTTAAAGGATCAATTGAAAACATGTTTGCATTAACAGAGAAGAGTTAAAAAATATTCTTCTGAATTAAATTTGAGAAGCCCATGTGTAAGTCATTTTTATCATATAACAGCACTAAAATGCATCCATACATGCAGAGGGATAGTTTGCCAGAGTATTGGTTTGTGGTTCCACCAGAAAGATTGAAAATCAAAGTACAAAGTACAAATACAATTGAGAAAAATCATTGTAATTGTTGATGTTCTTTGCAGAACTAAATAAAGGGCATACAGAAGGAACACTAATGCTGAGTTATTTGAATGCCATGATGTTAAACTCTGCCAGTCTTTTTTATTACATGTAATTGCTTTTAAATCTTTATTAATACAATATCTGTGACTGCGTGAATGAAAAGGTGTTTTCAGTATAGTATGAGATAAGTTATTTGTCAGAAATTTAGAATAGTAAGAACTTCTTGTATTTTCAAAGCCATTATAAATCTTCCTTTTTTCTGAGGGAAAGACCTAATGAAATCCATTTCTCTGTGTCCCTGTGTGTCTGTGTATGTCCACAATTTTGCAGTTGCGGAAAGAAACTTAGCTGGAGAATTGTAAAATTCATGAAGAAGAATGTCCAACATTAGTAACATTTGGTTCTAACCAATAATAAAGGCAAGACCCTCTGAGAGCATTTTAACAGGTCACAAGAAAATAGCGGTCAATTAACAGTAGTTTTGGAGTAAGAGAAGAGGCCACTTGTAGCTAAAGTGCTGCCATTAGCTGCATCCATGCCACTGCACAGTTAGGGCTCGGAAGCCTCACTTATCAGCCCAGTGGAATTTAAGGGAAGCAGTCTGCCGAACATATGGGTGAAGGAAGCCCACAAGTAGTGTTTGCTTGATGCAGCTAAGAAATTAAAGCTCAGAGAAACTCAGAGGCCGTGCTTGATTAGTGAAGCTAACTGCCTATGAAAGAGTTTTAATCATACCAGTGATTAGAGACAAGTGCAGAGCTTTGCAAATGTCATGGTACATCATCTCAGGAGAGGAGATACAACAGAAGGTGAAGCAATGCAATTTGGAAAAGTGGCCTTCTGAAGCTAGATCTTTGAAAGTGAAGAATTGGAATTCCATATGAAGGATCCAAACTTTTAATGACATTTGATGACGCACAGTGTCACTGATGTATGGATGGATTGCTGATGCACCAATGGGATCTTTCTTAATAACATTTGCTATTTGATGTGTTCTGTGGAGTGTTTGACTACAACTTGTATTTCAACCCATACTTACCTCATGTTAATTCTGCTTATTAGAGAATAACTTATAAAATACAATACAATATGTACAATACCGCACAATACAGCACATGAACAAGCCCTTTGGCCCACCAATTCCTAATCCTTATTTAGACCTGCTACTGATTGTCCATGCGTGGTTTCTATCCCTCTGTTGACCTCTTATTCATCTGTCTATCAAGATAGGCTTTAAATGTTGCTAATGTGCCTGCCTCTGGCACCTCCGCTGGCAGTGCATTCCAGGCATCCACCACCCTCTGTGTGAAACATTTTCCTTGCACTTCTCCCCTAAAGTTTCCCCTCTCACCTTGAAGCTGTACCCTCTTGTCGATGACTGTGCCACCCTGGGAAAAAGCCCTGATTGTCCATCCTATTTATACCTCTCATAATTTTGGAGACCTCTGTCCAGTTGCCTCTCGGCCTCTGCCTTTCCAGTGAAAACAATCTGAGTTTATCTCTCCTCATAACTGAAACTCTCAAGACCAGGCAACATCCTGGTAAACCCTTCTCTGCACCCTCTCCAAAGCATCCATGTCCTTCTGGTAGTGTGGTCACCAGAACTGCATGCAAAATTCCAAATCTGGCCTAATTAAAGTTTTGTACAGCTGTAAGACAACTTACCAACTTTTATATTCAGTACCCTGGCTGATGAAGGCAAGCATGCTGAATGCCTTCCTGACCACCTTATCCACCTGTGTTGCCACTTTCAGGGATCTGTGGGCCTGTACACCCAAGTCCCTCTGTATGTCAATGCTACGAAGGGTTCTGCCATTCATTGTTTAATTCACAACTGAATTTGATCTTCTAAAATGCATCACCTCGCATTAAACTCCATTTGCCATTCCTCTGTCCAAATCTGCAATCTATCTATTTCCTGCTGTATCCTTTGACAATCTTCCCCACGATCTGCAACTCTGCCAATTTTGGTGTCATTCTTACAGTAGATTATTTTACATTCTTAACTTTATATTATTTTGTTTGTTCAAAACAACAGAATTCTGTAACTTTATTATTTTAGTTTGAAATCCCACATGCCTACATTGACTATCTTAAACTAAAAAGTAGCTGACCCCTAACCAGATTATGTCATAAATTAATGTCTTGCTTAGGATTGTAACCTGGTGCTGGCGATTTCTGTGGAATCATAAAGTTTATGCTGCACTGTAGAAGGATGCATTCTCCATGGCCTTGTGTTTTCCTATGTCAATGATCTCCAACAATAAAGCCTAAAGTTCTTAGCACTCCTCCAATTCTGGCCTCTTCTGCATTTTCTGGTTTCCATCCCAGTTGGCAAGGCCCTATGTTCAGAATTTCCACTCTCAAACTTACCACCTCACTTCTTTTACCTTCTGTAAGATAAACGCTTTAAAACTTACCTCTCAGACCAACCTTTGGAAATCACCTTTGCTAATATCTTGTTATGTGCCTTGGTGGCAAATCTGCAAAGAGTCTTGGGTGATCTACTGCATTCAAGGCTCAACATAAATGTAGTTAATTATTGCTAATAGTTGCCTATATCTTAGTCACCAATGCCCACATCTCATGAATGAATAAAAAATTTCTGGTAAAATTGAATGCGCATGTAAATGACTTTAACATCTTCATGTTGCAGGTTGGAAAGTGGGAAAACCATAGTCTAGCACTAAAATATCCAGTGTGGCCAAGATTTAACTCCTTCGCAGATAGTGAAGTAGATGACAACCACCTAACTATCGTCACTTTGGAGGAAACCCCGTTTGTCATTGTGGAGGACGTGGATAAGTTGACTGGAACCTGTGCGAGAAGCAATGTGCCATGCAGGAAAAATGTCAAAGCTGTGTGAGTACGGTCTGAGGTCATTTTCATTTCTCTTGTTAGCCATTTCATTGTCAGAAACCTCGCCCCAGTCATTTACAATGTGGCATGCTTTACGGAATCTTCCACACTTGGCATGTTTGGGAACACCTCCTAAATGTTCATGTTTAAGGAAACAGAGCTAAACCAAACAAAGGTTTGTAGGTATCAAATCAAACCGATTTTAATCTTTCTGTTTCAAAGGTTGCAGCCCCAAAATATTCATTCCACTATTTGTCCACAGAAGCTGCTGAGCATTACCACAATTATCTATATTTGTTTTAGATTTGCAGAACCTGCAGTTTGTTTTACTTTGCTTTAGACTTTCCTGAACGGCTGTTCTTTTGTAGTTGCATGTCTTCTGTCAATAACATATTCCAGTTGTTGAATATTATGTAGCATCTTATCAGCACTAAAACTGGTATTCAGCCATTCAGCCTAATAGGCCTATGCTAGTGGTTATTGCTACACTCAAGCTACCTCATATCTTTCTTATTTTAACTTTATAAACGTATCCATCTGCTCCTTTCTGTCTCTCATATTAAACAACAGACAGGATAGTGAAGAAGGCATTTGGTGTGCTTCCATTTATTGGCCAATACATTGAGAATACAATTTGGGATGTGACATTGTGGCTGTACAGGACATTGGAATACTGCATGCAATTCAATTCTCTTTCTGCTATAGGAAGGATGTTGTGAAACTTGAAAGGGTTCAGAAAAGATTTACAAGACTGTTGCCAGGGTTGGAGGGTTTGAGCTGTAGGGAGAGGCTGAATAGGCTGGGGCTATTTTCCCTGCAGCGTTGGAGACTAAGAGGATGACCTTATAGAGATTAATAAAATAATGAAGGGCATGGATAGGGTGAGTAGACAAGGTCTTTTCCCCGGAGTGGGGGATTCGAAAACTAGACGGCATATGTTTGAGGTGAGAGGGGAAAAGGGGGAAAGAATTAAAAGGGACCTAAGGGGCAACTTTTTCACGCAGAGGGTGAAGTGTATATGGAATGAGCTGCCAGAGGAAGTGGTGGAGGCTGGTACAATTACGACATCTAAAAGGCATCTAGATGGGTATATGAATAGGCAGGGTTTAGAGGGATATGATTCAAATGCTGGCCAATGGGACTAGATTTAAATCGGATATCTGGTTGGCACGGACAAGTTGGACCGAAGGGTCTGTTTCCATGTTGTACATCTCTATAACTGTATGACTCTATAACCTCTCCTTAAGTTCATTTAAGCTTTTTGCTTCCACTCTGTAGAAGCAAGATCCACATTCTCACCACTTCTGCTCTTCACTGATGCATACCATTCCTGCAGAAGGCCAACGGCAGCAAAATCATGGAGAGACTTGAATGCAAGATGAAGAATTTTAAATATAACATGGTGTAAATATAAAGTTCAATATAATTCAGCAAGTTACAGGGGTGATAAGTAAACAGCACTTAGTGGGCTAAGAGGATATAGAAAACAAAGTTCTGGATGAGGCAAAGTTATGGGGATGGAGACTAGTCAGAAGAGCTTTGGACTAGTTGAGTCTGGAAGCCATAAAGGCAGGAATAAGGGTTTCATTGAGAGATGAACTGAGTCTGGTCAGGGGAAGATAATATAAAAGGAATGGTAAAAAGGTTGTCATTGAAAGGGCACACTATGGGGTTGAAATCTCAACTTGGGGTTAAGTAGGATTTTGAGGATGCAAACAATATCGATGTACTCTAGCAGGTGTAGGCCTTAAGGCAGTGTGGATAACGTCCCTGTCTCTGAGCCCAAAGTTCCGGGGTTTAAATCCCACATCACAATGGTACTGGTGGAAGATGTATTTGTAACCTGGGACAAAAGGTTGATTATCAGCCTTTAAATCCTTCCAATCTGACTGTGGCCGGCAGCAAGAGTGGTCACCCATACTTGATGGAGAGTGGCATTTCTGAAGCAGCAGCTCATGATCTGTTCCGGGAAAACTCAAGCCATACAAACATGTAAGCATTTGTTTTGCCTGCATCATGTATTGCTAAAGTTTGGAAGGCCTCTAGGTCTAAGTAAGAATCTGGTAAGACAGGTTTTGTTAGTGATCTAAATTTAATTACTTAGTTGAGCATTGCTTATTTAAGTGGGCTGGATGTGCACAGGTAATTGGAAGTGCAATCACACAAACCACTAAAAGCAACATAAAAAGATGAAAACCAAACATCAGCATTTATTTCTTGTATGATGGAATTGAAAATAGAGAAATTATGCTAAACCCATATTGGTTAGATGATACATGGAGTACTGTGTCCAGTTCTGGTCACCACATTAATAAGGTCACTGAGGATAGTGCAAAAAAGAATTACAAGGATTGTACTGCAAGGTTATAACAATTAGGAAAGAATTAATGTTCTGGGACTCTTCTAACAAAGAGAAAGCTGAGGGATGACCTAATAGAGGTATTAAAATCATGAAAGCCTTTGATGGGGTAGATCTAGAGAGAGCTTAATGAAAAGAGAATGTCTAGAGGCCATCTGTATAAGATAATCTCCAAGAAACCAACTGAGGCATTCAGAAGAAACTTTACTGAGGGATTGGCAAGGGTAAAAACTTGCTGCTGCAGAGATTTATTGAGGCAAATAAGTTAGACATGTTTATTGGGAAGCTGGTTAAACATATGAAGAAGAGAATGGAGGATTTTGCTGACATATAGAACGATGGTGGAGGATCCTGTGGAGCAAAAGTGCTGGAAGGCATTAGTTGTTTCTTGTAGCCAGTTTCTACACTGTGTATCCTATGTAGTTTGATGAAACTTTATGACCGTTGACATACTTGCACAAGAGAGGAGAGAAAAATTTTACAATTTTACAAATCAATTACTCATGAAAACAAGTGCTCTGGTCAGTTGGATTTAAGAGGTCATTTAAAACCTTTTGTTTAGAAATGAAAGCCTAATTATAACAAGGTGATTCTGTAACTTAGATCACAATCCCAGTTTCCATCAACATCATCATGTACATGCTGTCTGATGACATGTGGAATCATTTTCATTTCTTTTTACACTCCATCGTTCTATTTATTTGCCAAGAACCATTCGGCATTGATATTCTTGTCCTTCATCTTGTGCTTTCCCCGTGAAATGTGCTCTGTCTAACATCTCTTACAAGTACAATTTCTTCTGGAGATGTGCACTACCCAGATCCTCTGCCTTTCCTCAACCGTGTTCAGTAAATCTCTTTGTTTATTCGATCTCCTCAGAATGTCATCATTTGTTACTTCCTCTGTCCAATTGATTTTTTTTTTCATCCTCCTTCAATTCACATGTGAAAACTATTTGGAAGTTGGCCTCACCTTTCCTGAGTCCAAGTCTTATGTCCATATAAAACAACACTCCAGATCAGGCTGTCTTTATAGTTGTCTTTTTAAGTTGTCCATTCAGCTTTCTGGTTGGCAACCAGCTTTCTTCTCAAATATGGTCAACTCAATCGCATGAAGTCTGTTATTATTGTGGCCTAAGACTACCTGCTGCAATGATGGAGTTGTTGGCAACTATATCGACACAACAGGTGTACATTATAGTGTCCCACCACTGAAAATGGCTAAGAAAGCAGCTCAGGATTGAACTGAGAGGAATAAGCATGAACAGCATAAATTGAAACTCTGTTACAGGATGAGTAGTTGGCATCATAGAAAGTGAGGCCTCCTAGTTGCCACCCAATGAAATCCTCTCCAGGTTGCATCCTATTATGTACAAGTATTGCTCTCAAGTGTGAAATACAATCTATTTATGAGGCTGTGATTAATTTTCTGCATCTCAGAAATGCCCCCAAGGGAAACTCTTGTCCCTACATAATAACTAATGGCACAGAAACAGAACATTGATTGCGGAATCTGATGCAATTACGGCAGAGTTATATGATGGGTCTAACCCGTTTGTTGTTAACAGGGCCATTTAAAGGCTTTAGTTTCCAAATAGGCCTAGGTATGCTATGTTTGAAAACTGGTGTGGTGGGAAGGAGAAGATTCACTGAAATTCTGGAGAATTTCAGCGTAAAGTACTTATATAGGCTGAGAAATTCAGCTATGGAGTATATGATTTCCAGACCCTCAGAGATCTCCTCAGGCTCTATATGATGGGAAGGAGACTGGATGGCCATTTAATGATCTTTGATGAGGCTGTAAGCTAAAATGAGAGTAGCATGGATCTTGCAGCTGCTTCTGAGATGGCAAGCTTTCTTCTAGACTTCTTCTAGTTATTACATTTCAGTGGGATAAAATTTTTCTTTTGATTCATTTTGGTTCTTTAGTGGTCAAAAACACAAAAAGAACACATGTGCTTTTTTTTTCAAATGGAATGTGTTTACAGAATTGGCATTTAGTACGCTTGCCTTCATTGCTCAAACATTTGAGTGTAGGAGTTGGGATGTAATGTTAAGGTTGTACAGAAGGGTGATGAGGCCTCTTTTGGAGTACTGTGTGCAGTTTTGGTCGCCCTGGAGAAAGTTGCTGGGAATGGAGGGTTTGAATTAGAAGGAGAGGCTGGATAGGCTGGAACCTTCTTCACTGGAACATAAGCGTTTGAGGGGTGACCTTATAGAAGTTTATAAAATCATGAGGGGTATAGCTAAGATGAATGGCAGGTATCTTTTCCCTAGGGTGTGGGATTTCAAGACTAGAGGGCTTATTTTTAAGGTCTGTGGATAAAGATTTCAAAGAGACATGATGAGGAATTTTTTTACACAGAGAATGGTTCGTGTGTGGAATGAACTTTCAGAAGTGGCGGATGTGGGTACAGTTACAACATTTAAAAAACATTTGGATAAGTATGTGAATAAGAAATGTTTGGAGGGATATGGGCCAAGTACAGGCAGGTGAGACCAGTTTATTTTGGGATGATGGTCGGCATGGACTGGTTGGACCAAAGGGTTTGTTTCCAAGCTCTATGACTCTATGACTCTAAAACTCTATGACAGACTCTGTTTTTAACCTGATTTTCTGGTTTCACCCTGGCCAGTTAATGGAAGGTGTTGACAGCTTTGGAAGAAAATAAAGGGATGATCACTGGACTGATAATCCAGAAGCACAGGCTAGTGATATTACCATTATGTCAAGTGACATGAATTCAAATCTCACGATGGTAGCCAGTGGGATTTCAAATTTAATAAATATGGGATTAAAAGTTATTATATAATGACTGTAAAATGAAAAGCTAGTAGTGGAGACCCTAACTGATTCTGGTAGAAGAAAAGCCCATCTAGTTCTCGAAAGTCCTTTAAGGAAGGAAATCTGCCATCCTCACCTGGTCTCACAGACAAGTGACTCCAGACCCACAACAATGTGGATGACTTTTAACTGCCCCTCTGAAATGGTCTAGCAGATCACTGAGTTCAAGGGCAGTTAGGAATAGGAAAACAAGTACTGCTCTTTCCAACAATGATTACTCCCCATGGACACATAATGGGAATAAAAGTGCCTTTATAGGACCGATTGTGAAACTGAAGTGTTCCTTATCAGCTCCTCGAGCTTAATCCCATTTAATCACTCCCCAATAGAGACTACCACTGATGCAGATTGGACAGCCTGGGATCCCACTTTCAGTGTTTGGGATCAGACCTACCTGTTCCAATCTTCCCTACTGGTTTGGAAGCCAGACCTTTCAATCAGGCTGGCTTTTTGGATGGGAGACTGCCAGCAAGAAAAAAAAGCACATGCAATGTAGCATTCCCCCATAGCATAGATGTGTATCTTTTCTCTATAGGTTTCTTGCCCACAATCTGCCTGATTGGCCAGGAGGAGACCTTTGGGAAGGGAGTTCCCATGGCACCAGGTTGAATTTCAGCAGAGCTGAGAACGGTAGACTAGTCGGTGTGGAGAGGGAGTTTATTTCTTTATTCATTTACAGGATGAGGGCATCACTGTCTAGGCAGCACTTGTTGCCCATCCCTAATTGCTCAGAGGGCAGTTAAGAGTCAACCACATTGCTGCAGGTCTGGAGTCACGTGTCGGCCAGACCAGGTAAGGATGGCAGTTTCCTTCCCTAAACGACATTAGTGATCCAGATGGCTTTTTCCAACAATCAATTCATGGTCATCATGAGACTCATGATTCCAGATATTTATTGAATTCAAATTCCACCATCTGCTGTGGCAGAATTTGAACCCAGGTCCCCAGAACATTATCTGGGTCTCTGGATTAACAGTCCAGTGATAATACCACTAGGCCATTACCTCTCCATGGGGCTGTCTGTTTCCAGGTGATGAAGTGAAACCCAATTACGACTGAATCCTAATGAAGCCCCCAGTGATGGTTGATGGGAATAGGTTGTGTTCAAGGATGTCCAGTATTGATTGGGTGGGGTTTGCTAGTGGAGGAGAGCATAGGTGATAGCATATAGTTTATACAGGTGAGGGTAGGTGCTCATGTAGCACATTGGTAACGTCCCAAAAGCTGAGCCCGGAAGTCCAGGTTCAAGTCCCACCTGCTCCAAAAGTGTGTCGTAACTTCTCTGAATAATTTGATTAGAAAATGTCTTTTGGGGCTGCTCCTTGTGGCTAAGAAGCAGTGTTGTAACCCTCATGCAATCATCCCTTCTCATCTCCTTTTCCCTGTTGGGTTTCCCAAGACCTGGGACACTCCTGTGGTTACAAATAAAATAATTGCCAAAATGAAGACAGGGAGACCCATTAAAACACGCTTTCAATGAAGGGATTTATCACTTACTCCTGCTTCGACCTCCATTAAAATTAAAAGCAGCCAGATTTGGGACTGTCTTCCTTCCTCAGACTTTTGAAATGTGAACCTCTGAGCCAGCCCCAACATATCCAGTTTTGGGAGTGAGGATTCAGAAAGGTCTGGAACATTTTAGAAGATTCAAAATTTCAAGCAAATACTGTTTATTTAAAAATTTACTGCTCACCAGAAAATTGAATATCGAACGTAACATGATCAGTCATATTTTTGACTGATTGTGTGTATCTTTATTTTGCAAAGTACAGAAAGATTTAGTTATGAATGGAAGCCACACGTGCAGGTCTTGAATTTACTGTGTTCAATATCATCATTTGAACACTTGACACAGTTATGTAAGTTTCACCTTATCACCAATTTAAAAGTGGTGTTTGCTGTAACTCATTGATGCCTTAGTTAGAATGACAGACAGAAGAATTTGATGGTGTTTTATGCAGCCACATCATGACTATAGTTACTCTGATTTCCTGGTCAGGGTAATTAGCCTGAAATCAGTTTGACTACAAATGTTTTGACAGTGGCATCAAATATTCAGGTATTCATTTGTTACTCCTGTCTCATTGTTTATTTACTTCTGTTATCAGCAATTCCACTGACAAGGGGATCTATGTGAAGAAATGCTGCAAAGGATTTTGCATCGACATATTGAAGAAGCTTGCAAAGGCTGTGAAATTCACGTATGATCTGTACCTGGTGTCAAACGGGAAGCATGGCAAAAAAATCAATGGTGTATGGAATGGATTGGTTGGTGATGTAAGTCGCTTTAGGTAATAAACAGTCGCAAGAAGCTTTGCAACTTAAGGATTAGAATGCATTAGTAAACACATAAGAAAAGCCCTCCAATAAAACACCCCTCGACTCAAATGAAGAAAAACTCCAGAGTCTGTGTGCTTTAAGCTAACTCTGCTTCTTTCCTTTTTTTGTCATTACCTGCATTTCCTCCAGGTGATGTATCAAAGAGCAGCTATGGCTGTTGGTTCACTGACCATTAATGAGGAGAGATCTGAAGTTGTTGACTTTTCGGTACCGTTTGTGGAAACAGGAATCAGTGTCATGGTATCTCGGAGCAATGGCACAGTTTCCCCCTCTGCGTTTTTAGGTAAATGCTTTTGTGGTTTTATTATCTGGTACTGCATGTTCCCTTATCTATGGTTGCTTGATAGGTAAAGCTAAAGTTGCCATCGTTCTACCCTCTTAGTAGGGAGAGATGACTGGTGAGTGGCTTAACCTGAGGGTCACTATGCTTCAGGTGAAGGGAGAGGTTGAGAAGGATAGTTCTTCATAGTTACCTCAGCTGGTGCAGGAATTGAACCTGTCTTGCTCTGTGTAGCAAAACAGCCATCCAGCCAACTGAGCTAACCACCCCGATTTTTTGCAGACATAAAATCCCACTGATGTGTCAGGGCAAACTGCTTTAATTAATGTCATTGTACTGTTAATGGTCAAGTGATTTCTCCCTTCAACCCCTTTTTAATTTAATCCTCTCCCTGTCTTCACACCCACCCCTATTTTGTTATTGCTGCACTGCCCCTTGGTGAATTAATCCATGGCATGGGTGATTGACTGCAGGTTTATTTTTAAATGCTCAAGTGTCAGAGAAACACCAGCAGAGCTCTGTTGGGCTGAATAGCCTCTTTCTGTGTGGTACATTCAATTCCATCACCAGCAACTGGGACAGGAGAGAGGGAGTGGAGGACATCTCCGGCTTGGGAAAGTTATTGCTGTAGCTTTCCAGCAAGGGCTTAAACAACATGGCACAACCTACATGGTGATAGGGAAATTCAAGACACCAAAAACACATGGCTCTGTGCCCTCGTCACTCAGACCCCAGACTCTGGGTTCCTTGGTATGGTGGGATCGCCTGTAATCCCAGCAGTGCTTACTATTCCTTTTTGGAACTGCTTGGATGTCAGAGCTGCTAGCTGTCTGAATGACAGACAGCTTTCCAAGGCAGGGCATCCTCCTGAGAAAGGGCAGTGGTCGTGCCTTAAAGCAATTAATGTGTGTTAAATTGCTGCACAGCAATGATTGGATCATGGCTGGATTACAAACCCACCCCTGGCAAATTTTAGTTAAAGGATCAAGGACCACGCTGTCCCTCCCTAAGTTGCGCTTTAGGACAAAATCAAAGCTGCTAAACTGCTGGACCACTTTTATGAGGAGTGGATCAACCCTCTTGTTTTCAGCGGCAACAGTGCGAGCCAGAGTGCTGATGGGAAGGTAAAGTTGTTATTTCCCTGTATAAAAACTTACCTCGTGCAGCAGCGGCCTTCTTGTTTTCAGCGGTGGGTGTGTGGAGAGAACGCGAGCCAGGAAGGAACCGATATATTCGGGCATTGGCTAAACCCGAAACACGACACGTGTAGTGTCTCCCACCCATCCTCCTCCTCAAACCAAAAAAAAGACTGTGTGGAGGGTCGGGAAGGTACGGCTTCTTTTCTTAATTCTTCTGGAAATCTAGAGTAGGGGGAATAGAAGCGAGGACAGTTGCATGCTCCTCTTGCAGGATGTGGGAGGTAAGGGTCACACATGGTGTCCCCTCTGACTTCACCTGTAAGAAGTGCACCCAACTCCAGCTCCTCAAAAACTGCGTTTGGGAACTGGAGCTGGACCTGGATGAACTCTGGATCATTCGGGAGGCTGAGGGGGTGATAGAGAGGAGTTACAGGGAGGTGATCACACCCAAGGTACAGGAAAAAGGTAGCTGGGAGTAATTGTAATGGGGGATTCAATAGTAAGGAGGCACAGACAGGCGGTTCTGTGGACGTGAACGAGATGAACGGATGGTATGTTGCCTCCCGCCTGCCAGGGTCCGTGATGTCTCGGATCATGTCTTCAAGATCCTTAAGGGGGAGGGTGAGCAACCAGCTGTCATGGTACACATCGGTACTAATGACATAGGTAGAAAAAGGACTGAGGATGTGAAAAACGAGTACAGGGAGTTAGGTTGGAAGCTGAAGTCCAGGACAAACAGGGTAGTTATCTTGGGATTACTACCAGTGCCACGTGATAACGAGGTAAGGAATAAGGAGAGAGTGCAGCTAAACATGTGGCTACAGGGCTGGGGTAGGAGGGAGGGCTTCCATTATGTGGATAATTGGAGCACATTCTGGGGAAGGTGGGACCTGTACAGTAAGGACGGGTTGCACCTGAACCGGAAGGGCACAAATATCCTGGGAGGGAGGTCTGCTCGAGCTATACAGGATGTTTTAAACTAGATTGACAGGGGACGGGGAACCGGACTTATAATTCAGAGGATGAGGTATTCAGCCTTCCAACGGACACAACAGGGAGTGAGGTTGTTTATAAAGAAATGCGGTAGATGGAGCGTAATTGTGGACACAGAGATGGTTTGAGGTGTGTATACTTCAATGCCAGAAGTATCAGAAATAAGGCGGATGAACTTAGAGCATGGGTCGGTACTTGAAACTACGATGTTGTGACCATTACAGAAACTTGGGTAACTCAGGGAGAGGAATGGTTGTTGGAAGTTCCGGGATTTAGAGGCTTTAAAAGAAATAGGGAGGGTGGTAAAAGAGGCGGGGGAGTGGCATTGCTAGTCAGGGCTAGTATAGCAGCTACTGAAAGGCAGTTCGAGAACGATATGTCTGCAGAGTCAGTTTGCGTTGAGGTCCAGAACAAGAAAGGAGCAGTCACTTTGTTGGGGGTTTTTTACAGACCCCCTAATAGTTGCAGAGAAGTAGGGGAGCAGATTGGGAGGCAGATACTGAAAAGGTGCAGAAGTCACAGGGTTGTAGTCATGGGTGACTTCAACTTTCCAAATTTTGATTGGAAACATTTTAGTTGTAATAGTTTAGATGGAGCAGATTTTGTCCAATGCGTTTAGGAAGGATTCCTGACACAGTATGTAGATAGACCAACACGAGGAGAGGCCACTTTGGATTTGGTGCTTGGCAATGAACCGGGCCAAGTGTTAGACCTGTTGGTGGGAGAGCATTTTGGCGGTAGCGATCATAACTCTGTTACTTTTACAACAGTCATGGAAAAGGATAGGTACATACAGCAGGGTAAGGTTTATAATTGGGGGAAGGGTAATTACAATTCTGTTAGGCAAGAACTGGGTAACATAAATTGGGAACAGATGCTGTCAGGGAAGAGCACTATTGAAATGTGGAGATTGTTTAAGGAATGCATACTGCGTGTGCTCTATATGCTTGTCCCTAGCAGGCAGGGAAGATGCGGTCGAGTGAAGGAGCCTTGGTTCTCAAGAGAGGTCGTCAAGACTGGTTAAGAGGAAGAAGGATGCTTATGTAAGGTTTAGGAAACAAGGAACGGAAAAGACTCTAGAGGGATACAAGTTATCCAGGAAGGAGCTGAGGAAAGAGCTTAGGAGAGCTATAAGGGGGCATGAGAAAACCTTGGCAGATAGGATCAAGGAAAACTCCAAGGTTTTTTACACGTACGTGAGGAATAAGAGAATGACCAGAGAAATGGTAGGGCCGATCAAGGATTGTAAAGTGAATTTGTGCACGGAGCCTAAAGAGATAGGAGAGGTCCTTAATGAAAACTTTTTTTCAGTATTCACAACTGAAAGGGACCTAGTTGTAGAGGAGGACAGTGTGAAACAGGCTGGTAGGCTAGAGGAGGTCGATGTTAGTAAGGAAGATGTGCTAGGAATTTTGAGGAAGTTGAAGATAGGTAAGTTTCCTGGGCCTGATGGGATTTATCCAAAGATTCTATGGGAAGCGAGGGAAGAGATCGCAGGGCCTTTGGCGATGATCTTTTTGTCCTCACTGTCCACGGGTGTGGTGCCAGAAGATTGGAGAGAGGCAAACGTCATTCCCTTGTTCAAAAAAGGGAATAGGGATAACCCCAGAAATTACAGGCCAGTTCGTCTTACATTAGTGGTGGGCAAATTTTTGGAAAGGGCTCTGAGAGATAGGATTTATGATCATTTGGAAAGGCACAGTTTGATTTGTGATAGTCAGCATGGATTTGTGAGGAGTAGATCATGTCTCACAAACCTTATTGAATTCTTTGAAGAGGTGACCAAACAAGTGGATGAAGGTAGAGCAGTGGATGTGGTGTACATGGATTTAAGTAAGGCGTTTGATAAGGTTCTCCATGGTAGGCTCATGCAGAAGGTAAGGAGGCATGGGATAGGGGGAAATGTGGCGGATTGGATTCAGAATTGGCTGACCCTTAGAAGACAAAGGGTGGTAGTGGACGGAAAATATTCAACATGGTGCTCAGTTACGAGTGGTGTACCACAAGGATCTGTCCTGAGTCCTCTTCTATTTGTGATTTTTGTAAATGATTTGGATGAGGGAGTGGAAGGGTGGATTAGCAAGTTCGCGGACGATACGAAGGTGGGTCGTGTTGTGGACAGTGCGGAGGGATTTTCTAGGTTACAAAGGGACATTGATAGGATGCAGAGCTGGGCTGAGAAGTGGCAGGTGGAGTTTAACCCTGAAAAGTGTGAGGTGATTCATTTTGGAAGGACAAACTTGAAAGTAGAATACAGGGTTAATGGAAAGATTCTTGGCAGTGTGGAGGAGCAGAGGGATCTTGGGGTTCATGTCCACAGTTCCCTGAAAGCTACCAACCAGGTGGATAGAGTTGTTAAGAAGGCGTATGGTGTGTTGGCTTTCATTAACAGAGGAATCGAGTTCAAGAGCTGTGAAGTTATGCTCCAGCTATACAAAAGCCTGGTTTGGCCACAGCTGGAGTATTGTGTCCAGTTCTGGTCTCCTCATTACAGGAAAGATGTGGAGGCGTTGGAAAAGGTGCAGAGGAGATTTACCAGGATGTTGCCTGGAATGGAGGGAAGGTCTTACGAGGAAAGGTTGAGAGAGCTAGGGCTTTTCTCTTTAGAACAATGAAGGATGAGAAGTGACTTGATAGAGGTGTACAAAATGATCAGAGGTATAGATACTAGAGTGGACAGCCAGAGACTTTTTCCTAGAGTGGAGATAGCAATTACGAGGGGGCATAGTTTTAAAGTGAGTGGAGATAGATACAGGGGAAATGTCAGAGGTAGGTTCTTTACTCAGAGTGGTAGGGGCGTGAAATGCATTGCCGGAGAGGGTAGTGGAGTTGGCCTCATTAGGGGCATTTAAGCGGCTATTAGATAGGCATATGGATGATAGTATAAGGTAGGGGTGGAGGTTAGATAGACCTTAGGATTAGGGTAAAAGTTCGGCACAACATCGTGGCCGAAGGGCCTGTACTGTGCTGTACTGTTCTATGTTCTATGTTCTGTTTGCACGTTGAAAAGAAGGAATTTGTGATTCGGTCGAAGGTGTTATGAGTCATAAATCAAAAGAATGTAGTCTTCTCACAAATCCATGCTGAAAGTTCATGGTTAAACTCACCCCGGACATTGTACCATATTTGTCACTGTTCAGAGCTGTCACAGTTCGAGAAAGCATTGGATTGTTCTTTATTAAGTCGTGGGTGGGTGATTTTGTTGCACACTCCATTCCCAATTCTGCATCTGATCCATCATAGCTGACCTGAGGGAGGTGTCAGGTGATGTCAGACTACTCGATGATTTAATATCTTCTGAAATGTAGGCCATTTATGAAACTGTTTTACTTCCAGACACTTTGGACATACTTTTTTGGACAGGAGGTGAAATGATTTTAAAGTGATGAAAAATCAAATAGGATACAAAACGTTCCTATAGTGTTGTGAAATGTAGTTTTATTCCAACCATTCTGACATATTTAGGACTGCAACATGGCACATGAGCAAAGTGTTATTTTCCTTTTGCCACTTCCATGATTTATCTTCAATTGCTGACCCATTGTTATGTTTTTTTTGCTCTGTCTTCCACTTTTACTGCCATGTACAGACAAGGCCAAATCTGACCATTCCTGTTTATCCCTAGCCACCAAATCTCTTCAAAGTTTATTACAACCACTTACAACTGTTTGCCTTTGTGAAACAACACAGCGAGTGGACGGACAATCCATCAATCTGCTTAATCATTTTCTTGACTCTGCGTATGCCCTCAGCAACACTCTTACTCTCACCCACTTTGTCGTGTCCCTCATCATCACCCCAAGGGGCGCAGACCTGACAACACGAGGTTGCAATCATTGAAGCTACGTAAGTCGGATATGTAGACAGGGTCGAATTCCCAGCTCCGTGATCCCGAGCCACCTGTACCCCCTGTTTTTGAATCAGGAGGACTAGCTAGATTCCAACCAAACCAGGAGACCTTGGAAATGCAGAGAAGGCTGCCAGTTGCTGAGTTTAGCTGGGCAGAATGCCTGGCTGGAGCTCCAATATAATGTCCAAAGAATAAAATATGAAACACTCCCCTAATCCTTACCCCTCAAGTTTCCCTTGCCGAAACACTATCCATGCTCCATCCATGCCAACACCTGTAACCTAATCCTCTCTACCCATTCCAATGGCCTCTCTTACCCAATGCCACCCTATAACACTTTACCAATCCTGTATTGCCGTTCATACCCCCTAAGCTGACTTAGTCCCAGCTCATGCCAACCTACACAGTTCCACCTGTTTGCCTTCACCTACCATGCCAACTCACCTAGTATCTACCAGTACCCATGCACACAAGAGAAAAGCAAAGCTCTGTTATATATAGTTTTATACTGCAACCTACACCACATTGAGAAAAAAACTTTTGCAGTCGGTGACAGGTTTGATGCATCTTGATCGTTCCTGACAAGTTTGACATTTCTTGATAAATTGCATACTATTTTGACAGCTTTACAGTTCCAAGGGATTTATGTATCTTTTAGACACAATCTTCTTTACCATTAATAATCCCAAGGGATAACTGAAGAACATCCCTAAGGGTACCTGACCCTCCAAAGATACATGAACCCACCCAAATGTGCCCCAGGATCATATCCATTGGATTACATTAATTCTCAAATAGGGTACCCTGGCTAGCTAGATAAGTCCCCACTGATGTGGAAATTGTGCCTCCGTCTGATAATGGACAATTGGTTGTTAATTACCTGTGGGATGGCTGATGTTCTCAGTAACAGACCCTTCCCCAACTGCCCAATTTTTTAGCGATTGGTCTGAAGAGGGCATGGGAATCTGACGCCTCATATAATTCGTCCTATTCTCTCCAGCCTTATGACTCTTTGAGAATTCAGCCCTGCTCCAATCCTCCATTTCTTTCACCGCTGACTTCAGCCTCAGTATTGCAATGCCTTCTCTAAATGTCTTGGCTTTTCCACCTCACTACTATTCTTTGAAGACCCCCATCAAATCTTCCTTCTGAACAGACTTTTCCCCACCCTTCCTAATACCAGCCTTTTAAGTTTAGTCTTTACTTCTGTCTGATTATGTCCCTGTGAAGGAACCTGGATGATTTTGCCACTTTAACGGTGCTACATAAATGAAAGTGTTTTTGTTGTCTTTCCATTTGGGCTTTTTAATTTAGAAAGCAGCTTTCCAGACTTCTCTCATGCGTCTCTTGGCACTTTGAACACGGAAGTGCACTGTCGGGACACATCTTGCAAATTTTGCACCTTTCCCCTTCGGTGAGATGGTACCAAATGATGAACACCATCCATATTGGCACCTTGTCACTTGGAGGGGATGATGCTAACCAAGATGAGAGCTTTCTATCCAAAATCCACAAATCGAGGCAATAAAATGCCCTTCATGTGTAAGGGCCCAGTTTTTTTTAATAAGCTGCCTCTTGATGGTAAAACAGTCAATATCATTGTTTCTATGCAATTGTAATGACAGATTGATACAAAAACAGAAATTGCTGGAAAATCTCAGCAGGTCTGGCAGCATCTGTGAAGACAAATCAGAATTAATGTTTTGTAAACAATAAACAATAAGTGAAAATAGAGCCCACATAGAGGGAAAAACAGTTGGACATAGAGCCCAAAGATAGGTTGTTCACTTGTGTCCATAAAAAAAACCTGTATAATTGTTGTGAAGTAGTACAGTGTGTGTTGAAATTACTATTATTCAGCAAACGTAAATCCCTGAAGCAAAGTGTTAGCCTCTCTATGTATTGAGATTAAAGTAAATAATCTGCCACTCAGTCTCTCTCCTTGGCAATGTGCAGCATTGTCTCTCTCCATATGTGAATGAGCGGTTTTTACTGAGGCCCCAGTGACGAAGGTTGGCTGTTCAGGGGCCTTGGTTCATCCTGAATCAGTTTAACAAGGACCACTCTCACTGTGGGAATTCAAAGCCTGAGGAAGCTTTGTCATAGTAAATTTGTTTATGACTTCCCATGTTTCCTATTCCTTGATCCAAAGCATGTCTTGCTGGTACAATGTTAAAGGTACTTCCTATTGTTAAACAATCGTGTTAAATCCCATCTGCCTTCTCAGTTTTACATGTGAGCAAACAAAGTCTTATCTTAAGTAAAAGTTTTCCCAATGGCTTCCGCTAAGCTACAGCCAATTTGGATGGTGAAATATTTTTAAACAGGATGTTGCCATTCACAGGATTGTGCTATTCTCTTTTGCTGACACCGTAGGGCCAATGGTTGTCCTACGATGCTTTCTTGCATTTGAATGATTTATGGAATTACTTCAGGCTTTATCTCTGTTTTTTTCCAGAGCCCTTCAGTGCTGCTGTGTGGGTCATGATGTTTGTCACGTTGCTCATTGTGTCTGCTATTGCAGTTTTTGCATTTGAGTACTTCAGCCCAGTCGGGTATAACAGGAATTTGGCAAAAGGCAGAGGTAAGCTGAATGCTTTTATCTGGTTGCTTTTCTTTCTTTGTGTAAAACTGTGAAAATGAACACATTTCCTTATGTCGCAGCGCATTACAAATTACATAGTAGGTGCTGATACTTAAATTTTGGCGTGGCATTGAACATTAATTCTACGCCTAGCAGAGCACTTGGATTGGGTGAAAGAAAGCTCATAGTACTTCACAACATGAGATTTCTCTCTTGCTTCAGGAACGTAGGACAGTTCTTGGTCATTCTGTGTTCAAAATCATGAACTAAAGAAAATAATTACTTGTAATTTATAAAGCACCATTCACAACCACAGCGTGTTATTTTTTAATCTAATGAAGTGCACTTGAAGTGTTGCTGAGAAAAGACACATTTTATTGAAGCTTTTCATCTTGCACTAAACAAGACAATCTGTAAGAATAGAAATAGCTATAGAAACCTTAGCAGATCTGGCAGCAGCTGTGGGGAGAAAACAGAGTTAACATTTTGAGTCCAGTCAGAATGAATTTGAAATTTTAACACTGTTTTTTCTCTCCATAAATGCTGCCAGGCCTGCTGAGTTTCTCCAGCAATTCCTGTTTATGTTTTGTTTCCGATCTCCAGCATCCATAGTTCTTTGTTTTGTTAAATTTGCAAGAATATTCATAATTAACTGTTGCACTCTTCATGACATCACCGCTACCAATCCAATTTCACTTGCCAACGAATCAGTGTTCTCCTGTCACTCAGTATAAGACCATAAGAAATAGGAACAATCGACCACTCAGCCCTTCGAACCTCCTCTGCCATTCAGTAGGATCATGCCCGATCTGACACTCATCATCTTCACTTTCCTGCAAGTTCCACATCACCTTAGTTTCCCTACTGATCAGGAACCCAGCTATCTCAGCCTTAAATATACACATAGGAACATATCCCACAGGTCTCTGGGTTAAGGAGTTCCAAAGACTCACAAACCACTGTGAGAAGAAATTCCTCTTCATCTCAGTCTTAAATTAATGCCCTTTATTCTGAGACTAAACCCTCTGATCCTAGACTGTCCCATGAGGGGAACCATCCTCTCAACAGTTAACCTGTCACCCCCTCAAGAATTATATAGGTTTTAATGAGATCAACTCTTATTCTTCTAAACTCCAGCAAGTAGAGTCCCAAACTATTTAGCCTTTGGTCATAAGACAATCCCTCCATATGAAAGACCATCATAGTGAACCTTCTCTGAACTGCCTCCAATGAATTGATATCTTTTGTTAGATAAGTGGACCAAAACTGCTTGTAGTTTTCCAATGTGGTCTCACCAACACCTTGTACAGTTGTCGATATACTCCCCTACTCTTTCTAAAGCCCTGGCCAATAATTAGCCCTCACCAAAAAGCACTAATATAGATTAGCTGGTCATTAACACACTGTAGCTGTGGAATCTTGTATATTTGATGCTGTTTTTCACAGTGGTAAATACATTTCAAAAATACTTAATTGGCTGTAAAATGCTTTGAGATATCCAAATCTTGAGAAGTACAGGGATCATTCTGGTTAGAAAAGAGGCACTCAGTAATCTGAGCTGCAAATTATGTATTTATTTTGCAAATTACTGCTGAATTTATTATCAAAACATAGCACAGTCAGTCATTTCCAAATCCTGAATGGTATGTCACAATCAGAAGATATTGAACATTATTTTGAATGGTTTCTTAACAATATTCTAAGTGAAGTTAGCCCCATGCTGCCACCAATTGCCTTGTATCTCAAGCAGCCATCCGGTTTGCTAATAAAATATTTGTACTCTTAGGGAAAGGCAACTTTTTCAGCGCTAAAATAAAACAAAAAAACTGCAGATGTTGGAAATCTGGAACAAAAACAGAAAGTGGTGGAGAAACTTGGGAGGTCTGGCAGCATCTGTAGAGAGAAAAATAGTTAATGTTTTGAGTTCTGTCACCCTTCGTCAGAACTCAGAACTGTTATAGAATCCTAGAGTCATACAATATGGAAATGCCGACTATGTTCCTAAACTAAACAAGTCTCACCTGCCTGCGCTTCGCCCATATCCCTCTAAACTTTTCTTATTCATGTACTTATCTAAATGTCTTTTAAACGCTGTAACTGTACCTGTATCCACCAATTGCTGTGGAAGTTCATTCCACACCCAAACTACTCTCTAGGTAAAAAAGCTGCTCCTCATGTCTTTTTAAAATCTCTCTCCACTCACAAATATGGCCTCTAGTCTTGAACTCCCCCACTCTAGGGAAAAGACACCTGCCATCCACCTTATCTATACCCCTCATGATTTTACAAACCTAATTATGGTCACCCCTCAACCTCCTACACTCCAGTGAAAAACGTCTCAGCCTATCCAGCCTCTTTTGGTAATGCAAACCCTCCATTCCTGGCAACATCCTGGTAAACCTTTTCTGAACACTCTCCAGTTTAATAATATCCTCCTTACAACAAGGTGACCAGAACTGGCCACAGTACTCCAGAAGTGGCCTCACCAAAGTCCTATACAACCTCAACATGACATCTCAACTCCTAAACTCAGAGTTCTGAATAATGAAGGGAAGTGTGCTAAATGGCTTCTTAACCATCCTATGTACTGAGGGCAACCTTTCTATTGAATTGGAAGACCAGCAACAATTGCAAGGCAAGCTGAGGGCCTGTAATTCACTCGATTCACAGTTAACCACAAGAATCTAAAGGCAACAGCCTGGACGATGACCATTCTCCTCTGCATTGATGAACTGTGGGCATTTCTTATGTTTAAACCTTCAGTAGACTTCCAAAGATGGCTCCATTTTGTTGCATGGTCACCTTCTTGTAACTGCCTCTGCAGCATCCATTACTCCCAGTGATAATCAATGTACGTAGGTACTAAAAAATAAATCATAAATTGGCTGAACGATAAGATTATGCCATAACAAATGGTGGTTCTGAGTACTGAGGTCAGAAATCACACGACACCAGGTTATAGTCCAACAGGTTTATTTGAAAACACAAGCTTTTGGAGTCTTAGTCCTTCTTCAGGTGTTGTGAGAGAGGTAGTAGCAGACACAGAATTTATAAGTAAAAGATTAAAGGGTCACACCATTGATGAGGATGTACTAAACAAACCTAAGATGCTGTTACATCTTTAATCAGTTAGAAGGTTTTAATTGATTAATATGTGTATGTAATCCTGGAATTCCTTTCATATCACTGTCCTGAGAGAACTAAAGGTTTTATCAGTGAAAATTCGAGGTGACGTTTTAGGTCAGACACGGCATGTTAAGTGTGAGATATAACACAGTGTGGAGCTGGAAGAACACAGCAGGCCAGGCAGCATCAGAGGAGCAGGAAAGTTGATGTTTCGGGTAGGGACCCTTCTTCAGAAATGGGGAGGGGGAAGGGAGCTCTGAAATAAATAGAGAAAGGGCTGGGGAAGGTAGATGGGATGGTGATAGGTGAGTGCAGGTCAGGAGTGGTGGGGATTGGTCAGTGGGATGGGTGGGGTGGATAGGTGGAATTGAAGATGAATAGGTTGTGTCAGGTCAAGGAGGTAGGGATGAGAGGGAGGTTGGGATGGGGAGATTTTAAAACTAGTGAATTCCATGTTTAGGCCATTGGGCTGTGGGTTCCTGAGGCGGAATATGAGGTGTTGCTCCTCCAGTTTGTGGGTGGTGTCATTGTGACACTGGAGGAGGCCCGGGATGGACATGTCATGCAGGGAGTGGGAGGGGGAGTTAAAATGGTTGGCGATTGGAAGGTGTTATCGTTTGTCGCGAACAGAGCACAGGTAAGTGTGAGGCCTTGTTTTAAAGAATGCCTTGCTTCACCTCAGCATTTCCCAAAGGATTTCAAAGCCAAAGAATTTTTCTTTATTTTTCCCTCTTGTTTGTTTATTCTCTGTCACTGTGTCAGAGAGAGTCATAGATTCGTAGAGTCATACAGCATAGAAACAGGCCCGTTGGCCCACCATGTCTGTGCTGACCAACACACATCAAACTATACTAACCCCAGTTACTTATATTTTACCCATAGCCTACTATGCTCTGGCATTTTAAGTGCTCATCCAGATGCTTCTTAAATGATGCAAGAGTACTTCCCTCTATCACCCCCTCGGGCAGCAAATTCCATATTTCTACTATCCTCTAGGTGAAAAAAAATCCTCAAATCTCTCCTAAACTATGTGCTCCTCACTTTAAATCTGCAGTCCTTCTGAGAGAGGAAAGAAAGAAACCATAGAGTAGGTAGAAAGAAGACTGATGAAGAAACTGCTGTTGAGAACAGGTTTGTGACAATGGTTCCAGGGAAGAGGAATTTCAAATATGAAGATAGACTGGAGAAGCTGTGAAAAAAGAACAGAAGGCTGAGAGGAGAACTGATAGAAGTATTCAAAATCATGATAGGTTTAGACAGAGCAAATATAGAGAAAATGTGACATGAGGAAAAATGTTTTCATACAAGTGGTTAGTGTCTGGAGTGCACTGCCTGACAGTATGGTGGAGGCAGGTTCAATTCAGAAGAGAATTTGATGGTGATTTGAAAGGAAGAATGTGCAAGGTATTGGGGAGAAAACAGGAGAATGGCACGAGGTGAGATGTTCATTTGGAGAGCCTGCCTAGACACAGAGAACTGAATGAGTTTCTTCTGTTCTGTAAAAATCCTGTGATTCTGTGAATTCTGAGAAAGAGCAGGGAGAGGAGTGATTGGCTCAGCCAGCTGTGGAGTAGTGCAATGCCAGTGCATTTAAGAAGACATTTGCTTGAGGATGCAAAGACATGTGTGGAATAATAATTCCTAATATTTAAGACTGACTTGGAGTGAAGCTGCAGTTGGTAGAGAGCATGAAAGCTCCACCTGCCTTCTGAAGTGGCAGTTGACATGATGATAGCTGTTTTCCAATTTAAAGTGCATCCTCATTGTGACACTGGGCATAATGAACACATCCATAGTCTGAGGATTTGGGGTAGACCGTTTAGGATGGAGATGAGGAGACCTTTCTTCACCCAAAAAGGGGTGAGTTGGTGGAATTCATTACTACAGGAAGTAGTTGATACCACAATGTTGAATATATTTAAGAGGTGGCTAGATATAGCACTTGGGGCTAATGGGATCAAAGGTTATGGGGCGAAAGCAGGATTAAGCTATTGAGTTGGACGATCATCCAGGATTGTGATAAATAGTGGAGCACACTCAAAGGGTGGAATGGCCTCTTCCTATCTTCTATGATTCTACGTCCAAACCTCTACTGCATTTCTTCAGTCCTCCAACTGCTGGCATTTCCTCTTCCTGCTTTTCTCCTTCCAGCTTTGACATGTTGAGGAGAATATTTTGGAAACTGGGGCAATTTCTGGCTCCTGGCACTACTGATGTGGAGAAATGTCCACTCAGAGAATGGTGAACCTGTGGAATTCACTGCCACAGAAGGCAGTTGAGCCCTAAACATTGAATGCTTTCAAGAAGGAGTTAGATATAGTTCTGAGGGCTAAAGGGATCAAAGGATATGGGGCAAAAGCGGAAACAGAGGTATTGAATTGGATGATTAACGGTGATCATATTTAATGATGGAACAGGCTTGAAGGATTGAATAGCCTACAGATCTTATTATCTATGTTTCTATGTTGCATCCACACTCTTCAAAAATCATCGTGTAACATTTTATTTCCAACCTGTTCAGTATTCATTCGTTTACTTTCTCTGGAAGATTTCATTTTTGTGTATGTTGTTGTTGCCCTGCCTGTAATTTATCTTTGGTTTTACAATCACCTGTGCTGTTTTACACTAGCTGCACTTCATATATTTTCATATTAAGGGACTGAGAAAATAAAAGCTCTTTATGGTATTCATTCATCACCTACACTAACCAAACAAGAAACTGTCTCCAAAATCAAGTTGTGTACTTATCAAGGAACTATTACAGACTGCAGTGAGAACTCAGTGTGAAACATTTCCATTCAAGAACATGCCACCGAGTCATCTGCTTAAAAGTGAATAACTCTTTCAAATAGCTTTAAGTGGGGAGCTAAAGACAATGAAAATTCAGTGCAATATTTGGCTGTGACCAAACTTAGCTGTGAAGCTGTCCCCTCCTTTGAGTCTCATGGTCAAGCCTTCTCAAAGGACAGCATGAGAAAATAAGTTGGGATTAGGGTGGATTTTGAAGCACCGGCGAAAGAAAGCATTACTCTTGAAAAGAACCTTTGCGCTGAGTGTTTTGTGAAGCTTTATCCACAAGATCCTAGTTTGTGTTCATGTGTTCATGTACTTTGTTCTTTGTTTGCAGCTCCACATGGTCCATCATTCACAATTGGCAAAGCAATATGGCTCCTTTGGGGCTTAGTCTTCAATAATTCTGTGCCTGTAGAGAATCCTAGAGGAACAACTAGTAAAATAATTGTCTCAGTATGGGCATTCTTTGCTGTGATATTTCTGGCCAGCTACACTGCCAACCTGGCTGCTTTTATGATCCAGGAGGAGTTTGTGGACCAAGTGACTGGACTCAGTGACAAAAAGGTAATCATTGCTTTCATTACTTGTTGGTGTAGCCTTCAACTAATAACCCCTCAAGTCGAAAGCATATCCTCAAATATCTTTGAATAGATTTGTTACCGGTCACAAGATTTTGTTTAAATTTCTGCAGTATCTTTTGTTATTGCAAGTACAAAAGAGAGACAGATGGGACCTGAATAATGGGGCAAAGCTTGCGTTAGGATTGGAGTTCTCCCTCTTTCAGTAGCTGTGAGGTATTCTGATGGGGAGAGAAGGTAAGAGGTTAGGGAGGACAAATCCTGCATCTGCAGCTACACAATAAGGGGGCACATCTGGGACAATTCCTGATAGCTGAGAACTCATGACAGTTCCACTGACGCACTTGATAGGACTCCAGCCAAAGGTAATTAATCCTGGAGACAATGAATTTCCTACTTTATGCTGGAAAATGTTTCCAGTTAGCTGAACATTATTAAAAGCTTCCACTGTCTTCAGCCCAGGAATGTTTTCTTAAATCTCCTTGCAAATAGGTGTGGGAGAGGTAACTGTTGTGGGTTATAAAGTAAGCAGAAAGTGCCACCAGGTGACTGTCTGTGTGGAGTTTGCATGTTCTCCCTATGTCTACATGGGTTTCCTCTGGGTCCTCCAGTTTCCTCCCACGGTCCAAAGATGTGCAAGTTAAGTGTAATGGCCATGCTAAATTGCCCGTAGTTTCCGGGGATGTGCAGGCAAGGTGGATTAGCCATGGGAAATGCAGGGTTACAGGGATAGGGTAAGGTGGTGGGTCTAGGTGAGATACTGTTTGGAGGGTTGGTGTAGACTTGTTGGATTGAATGGCTTACTTCTGCACTGTAGGGATTCTATGATTCAGCCAGGGTGCATTTCCTCTGCATATACCAGAGTTTGATACTGGACAGCACTGATAAAGGAATATCAGACCTCTGGACTAACACTCGTGGCCATGTCTTTCACCTGTGTAAGCCCTGCACACTTCAGAATTCTCATCCTAAAGCCTTCAAGTTCCCTGCTTCCCTCTCCTCCTTTCTAACATCCTCAAAACCCATCCATGACTAAGTCATTGGTTAGCCCTCAAAATACTTCCAGCTTTTCATCACTGATTTGTGAAGTGGTTCTGAAGAAGAGTCATGCCAGACTTGAAACGTTAACTCTGTTTCTCTCTCCACAGAGTTTCTCCAGCATTTTTTGTGTTTGTTTTTTATCACTGATTATCTGATTGCATCAAAGTGATGCAATTTTCCATTTCAATAACACTTTGTAAATGTTAGTTGGGGGCATGCTCCTTTCACTCACTCTGTTGGAGTTCCTGAAAGCTAAATATGTTGCCGGGAATTTTCATAATTTCTGTTTGACAGTAGAGGAACTCTGAGAGATTGTGTGATGGTTTGCAGTGTGTTGTCATGGTGAGGTATAGGGGCTTTGACGTTTTGTCTTCCCTCATAGACAGAACAAGAAGGAAGACAAAACTCTTGTTTTACCATTCACTCCCTATCAAGTGCCCGGTTTCAGATATTGCTGGCAGAAATTCTTTTGCTTAACCTCATAACTGAGGCAATGAAAGCAAAGTATCTTTGGAGCCTGGTCCTTGCACAGTACTTGGAAACTTATAAGAGGGGATCAAGTTGGGAGTAAAATAGTCACTGTCTCATTTACAATTTGCTTTTGAGGTACATATGAGCTCTGTGACAGCTTTACATAGAGCCACAACCAAGTCACAAATTTTCTTTGAGCTGCTCCTTCTCCAATGCTGTCACCAGTAAAGTGACTGAAACAGAGTTTGTGCATGTTAGTGGATTTCCACTGCATTTCCAAAGGGATTCCAGTCATAGAGCTGGAAAGGGTCAAAGGAAATTCCCAACATTTCAGTGACCTGTACAGCAGAAGGTAATTTATAGAAAAACTTAACTGCAGAGTTATTTTATTTTATATTATTGTGCAACATGCATTTCTACTAAATTTATCAGCATTTGCAGCTAGTTGGGATCATTTTACTTTTTGTAAGACTCAACTTGAAAGGAGTTTAAAGTGTAAAAGAATCCTTACAGGATAGCACAGTGCAGAGAGTCAAAGGTTCATTGACCCCCAGGGGATAGGGATAAATTCTTTCGCTGGTCTCACGCTCTCAGTAACAGTGGGAAGTTATACAGTTGTAGAGTCATACAGCATGGAAATAGACCGTTTGGTTCAACCAGTCCAAGCCAACCATAATCCCAAACTAAACTAGTGCCACCTGCCTGCGCTTGGCCCATATCCCACTGAACATTTCCTATTTATGTAGTTATTTAAATGTCTTTTAACTGTTGTAACTGTACCCACATCCACCACTCTCTCTGGAAGTTCATTCCACACGCTCTATGTAAAAAAGTTGCCTCTCATGTCTTCTTTAAATCTTTCTCCTCTCACCTTAAAAATATAAGTTCAGGTCTATGGTTGTAGAATGGCAGTTTCAGAAATCCCTTGTGCAATTCTGTACGAAACAGGAAGGTCAGGGATCTGTCACCTGTTTGCCTTCCTGGATCCCAACTGGAATTCTGCCCCACAGCTCTCAGTCTAAGTTATCCTGAGAGCACCGTGAGTGTGCAGACAGCTTTCCTGCCCCTCACTGCAATTTACATAAGACCAGTTACGATTGGGTGGGCCCATTGTATGGAGAAAAAGAGAGGAAGGTTAGAATGGGGGGATAAATTCATGGAATTGGGAACAATCAATTTGGGGGTGGAAACAGAAATCCTCAGAAATGGTTTTTGGGTCATTTTCCTGCCAGAAAAATGCTGCTTGCCCTGAAACAATGTAGAAGGTGGTTTTGAAATTCTCCTTGCTAAGTTTTGGATATTCTCTGAATGAGGACACAGTACTCACTGGCCCACTTTTAAAGATTTTGAGATGCTGTATGTCTAAAATTGTGCATGAAAACATTTGTCACTTCAGCCCTTGAAGAGCACTTTCAGCTGATCTTTTAGAATGCAGCAATTCTGTTTTCAACCTTTCTGTAACTAGTCATTTAGCAGTACAATGTCAATATTCCTGACCTATTTTAAGCATTGTTCTGAGCAGATCAAGCTTATCTGTTGAACTGTGTGGTATGCAGTCTGCGATGGTGCAGTGCCTGCAACTTCCTTTAGTGACAATGATAAATTGCTCTGGCCAAGCAAGAAGCCTATTCAGTGGTGGCTTTTTCTTTATTTAAAACAAAAGCTACTTGAGCCAATAAGGCTTCATAAATTATTTTTCTAAACCTGCAAAAATTAAAATGTTTTCCCTATTAAATGTAGGGAGTTGTGTGATGCTACACCTGTGTTCTGATTCTCTGGAGGAATGATAGATTTCATGCCACAAGTCCTTGCACCATGAGTGTGGTACCATTGAGGGTAGTGTCAATTATACAGTAGGCAATCATGGATGGAGGAAGGGAATTCAGCGAGTGATAAGATGATCCATTGGGACCCGTAGATTCCCTGGTGCACTTCCTTGTTAGGAGCTGAACAGATTGGAGATGTTGACTTAAACTTGTTGGTTAGACAGTACAGTGGGCAGTGTGGAATTTGCTAAAAGAGAATGAAAACGGAGGAGGAAGGACATTCCAAAGAATCAAATGCAGATTTAAAACACTGATGAAAATATTCTGTTGTATCTGAATCTGTGAGCTGGAGTGGCATGTTTCAACAATATACAATGGCTGAAATAAAAGGTAAGAATGAGTACAAGAGCATGCTTATCCATGTAAACTGTTGCAATTTGGTGAGTGCTTGTCATTGCTAATAACCCAAGAATAAAAAAGGAGTTGGTGCTAAAGTGGACAAGAAAACTAATAGGCCCAGGCCAAGGCTCTGGGGATAGCAGGTTCAAATCCCACCGCTGCAGCTGGTGGAAATTAAAAGCAATTAATAACAATCTGGAATTGAAAGCTAGTCCCAGTAGAGACTAATAGGAGTGAACATGAAACTGTCTCAGCTGTTTCAAAAAACTATTTGGTTCGCTAATGCCATTTAGGGAAGGAAATCTGCCATCCTTACCTGGTCTGGCCTATGTGTGACTCTGGACCCACAGTAGTGTGGCTGACTGTTAACTGCTCTCTGAAATGTTCCAGCAAGCCATTGGGATGGGCAATAATTGCTGGCCTTGCCAGTGATGCCCACATCCTGTGAAACAGAAGTCATAACAAAAAGAACAATTATTGCTATTAACCTGGTCCACGCCACGTGAATTGAAGTTCTGCCTACAACTGAACCAAATATAATCTGTCATACCATCAGTTATCTGACAGCTAACATTGAGATGTTGAGAGAAAGCAACGAAACAAATTGAATGCAGACTTTACAACGCTGTGACAGACAGCCACAGCATTGATAAAAATCTAACTATAATTTACACTGATCATCAAAAAATGATGCAGCTACAAGGCATGAAGAGGATGCAGCAACATTTTACTTGGAAGAGGAATATTATTGATATGTAAAGTTCTGATTTATATCAGGAACAAAAACAGAAGTTGCTGGAAAAGCTCAGCAGGTCTGGCAGCATCTGTGAAGCAAAAGTCTAAGTTAATGTTTCGGGTCCGGTGACCCTTCCTCAGAAACCGGACCTAAAACATTAACTCTGATTTTTTTCTTCACAGATGCTGTCAGACCTGCTGAGCTTGTCCAGCAACTTCAGTTTTTGTTCCTGATTTACAGCATCCGCTGTTCTTTCGGTTTTTACTGATATATGTCGTCTGTGTTGGTTTTCTCCATTGATTTTAGAAGTTATACTTTTGAACCCAGCATTTGTAAGATGACTAAGGTTTGACAGTGTAGGGTACCCAACTAAGTTTTAAGTGGTCATCTTAGTACAGAAGGTAAAGTGAAATGTCTGTTACTTAATGAACTCAATTTCTATAAATGTCTGTGCAGGCAGGAGATTGTAAATGCATCCTTTTGGGATGCTTTTGCCCTTCATCATCAGGTTACATTGCTCAATTAAAATGTGTAACTCTGGCTCTCTTTGGCAGAGCTAACATAGAAGGGCATGGGTCTAACCTGCCTCTCTGGGAGACATAAAACTTTCAAAGGTATACAAGTACATACTTAACCAAAAATTGATGCTGTTGGATCTTCATGCCCCTTACTATTTACTACAGAAATGCTGAAACTGTTTAGGATGAAAAATTCGATTTTGTGCTGTTGTTTTGAGAATCATTGCTGGAAAGTCATTCTAAAACTGTTCACTATGGCTCTTCTGTCTCTTATAGTTTCAGAGGCCATATGACCATTCGCCACCTTTTCGATTTGGCACTGTTCCAAATGGCAGCACTGAGAGAAATATTCGAAATAATTACCCTGATATGCATGCCTATATGTCCAAGTACAACCAGAAAGGAGTGCAAGATGCTTTGGTCAGCTTGAAGACTGGGTAAGCAATAGCTAACACCTACTGTTTTATCCAAAAGCAAATGTCAGGAGTCCAAATTCAACACATTCAAAACTAAATATTGTATATGCTTTTCCTAGTGTGATTTCCGATTGTAAAATGCTCTTCAGTTTTGATTTACACCTGCAATGTGCAAAAAGACTATAATAAACATTTGTAAATCACTAGTAAGGCCTCAGCAAGGGTATAGAGTTCAGTTCTATAGTGAAGATGACAAGGCCTTGGAAAGAGTGCGAAGAGGATTTGTGAGTGGTGACAATCAAAATGAAGGCCTGCAGTTGTGTGCAGGGACGGGAGAAGTTGGGGTTAGCTGCTGTAGAATAGAGAAGGCTAAGTCCATCTCCTCTCCACCTATCTGCTCCTTTATCCATCTTCCATCCACCTCCCCCTCTCTCTCTATTTATTTCAGAATCCCCTTCCCCTCCCACATTTCTAAAGAAGGGTCTAGACTTGAAACGTCAGCCTTCCTGCTCCTCTGATGCTGCTTGGTCTGCTGTGTTCATCCAGCTCTACACCTTGTTATCCCTGGAGATTTAAAAGAGATGTTCCAAACTGAGGAGACCTGGTCAACCAATTACGGACTAGCTATTTCCTTTAAACATTGAAACCTAATAACCTTTAAAAAGTACGTAGATGAGCACTTGAAATGTCATAACATTCATGGCTATGAGCCAAGTGCTGGAAAATGGGATTAATATAGACAGGTCAGTGCATACTTGATAGACTGAAGGGCCTTTTCTGTGCTGCGTGATTCTGTGACTTTATGATGGTTTCCACTGCCAAGCTGGTAAATTTAAGATAATTGTTGAAAGAATTATGGGAGAAATTAGGAGCCTTATTTACACGATGAGTTGTCATGATTTCAAATGCGTGACCTAATAGAGTGGTGGAAGCAAGTTCAATTGTGATAATCAAAAAGAAATTAAACATTTTCCCCCTACCTTTGGAGAGCTTCAGGGAAAAAGCAGGCTACAGTGGGATTAAACAGATCTACTTCTTTGAATGAACTGGCACAAAGACAGTGCCACAAATGGCTTCATGTTTGGCTGCATTTGCTCACGCCGAGGTGCTTGTGCTGTATGCTCTAACAAGAAGACACTTAAGCATGAACTCGTGATGGAGATTTATTGAAAAGTGTCCACAGGCTTATCTTTGTCACTGGGCTGGCTGGAAATATGGAAAAGACCAAGAGGATGGACCAAGGGTTGGGGGAGAACGGACCAGGGTTGGAGGAGGCATGGGGGAAGGAAACAGACTCAGAGTGAGAGTGACGGACTAGGGAAGGTGTAAGGTGAAGGGGAGAAAGATCAGGGGCAAGAAATTGGGCTGGGCATATTCTCCTCCTGCCTCGTGGACCCTCTCATTCTCTCAATCAAAAATAAACAAGAACAGGCAACAGTGGGCTTCAGACTCTGGTGCTTAGACTCTTCCCGTCTTCAGCTGGATATTGTCTTGTGAGTTTAAATAGTCTTGACTAGTTTCCAGTGGGTGTAAGCCACTCGGATGGAGTTGGAGTTTGCTTATCAGAGTTAGACTTAAATCCTCTTACAGTAAGAGTCGATTAAACTTTTGCTATCAATTTAGTCTGTATAATGCCTCAGACTGGAACTCTTAAAGCTGCTGATTTCAAAAGCAGCCTTCTTCTGAAAATAGATGAATGATTAAGGGAAATTTCACTCTCCTTATAAAGGTGCCAATTATTTCAAATTGCCTCGTGAGGAATGAGCTACAGTTTATTCATTTGCAGCCATTTTATTCTCTGTAATTGCTAAGACTGGATTTATTCAGCTCTGAAACATAGAATAGAATAGAAAAGTGCTATTTAAAATTAATTTAGTTTAGAGATCATCTCCCATACCAACCCAAATTGCCTGTTTGTCTGGGATATATGTAGACTGCTGCTTTCCAAAAAAAACTTATTTTGTTGGTGATCAATATTGAATCAAAGCCTGAGTTTTCTGCTAAGGTTGCATATTGTTAAAGTAACGAGAACCTTCTTTTTAAGCTGGAGTCCTACTAAATGCCAATTGTGCTGAAAGCATTTGTCACTTCTTCAGCACATAATGAGTTAGGAGGAATAAGTTACATACACAGAGATGAAAGTATTGACTCATGCTGAAGTGCATTATCAGAGGCACCAGTAATCCCTGGATTCCTGAGCTAAGACAATGAGGAGCCAATTTTCATCCCATTTCTGGTTAGGGCTTCATGGGGGCGGGGACTGGTTTGCAAGGAAAATTAGGAAGTAGCACACATTGCCCTTAGTATCTGAGCTGCCACATATTGTTACAAAGCAGGGCTCCCCTCCAGCCCCGAGAACTAAAACCAAAACACCCAAAGAGGAGCACATCACTGTATAATCTGTGTGGATTATAGGAGTGTGAAAAGTGGTGTAACCTGCCTTTTAGCAACTTCTAGTGGTTAAAAAAAGTAAACACCTGACATGCACTTTACAATCAACAAGTAACAATTTATTTATCTAACTCTTAACAGTGAACAAATTAACTAAACTATTAACAAACCAAATAAGCCCCTTCAAACTACTAACTATTCCCAAATAAAACAAGATTCTAATGATATGCTATTCCAATGTATACACATCCCACTTATGTCAAATAAAATAGAATTTTGTCTCTCGAAATTACAGCCAGATTACATGTCTTCCGGAATGCTGTGTGCCTCTCCGTTGAACGTTCTATCAGCAACACCACCTCCGTCGATTCTTCTGTCAGGAATGTTAACTAGTTGTGCCGTTGGTACCTTTGATATTTAGATGGTGCTTTCTCTAAGACTTTTGGAGTCTGTGAGAGCCAGCGATTCTCTCTTGAGAGGTGAGAGCTGTTAACTCTGGCAGATGGCAGTTAGTTCTCCTGTCTTTGTCTAACTGCCATCTTCTTTTATACCCTTGATGACACATCAATTTCTCACACCAGGATTTGTCCTATGTTGCCAAAACTATCAGATTTAAATTTGATTGGTTTGTGGTATCTAAGTGCCTGGTTCAAATTGATTGGCTAAATTCAAAACTTATTGTCTTGGTAAAAATCTGCTGCTTGGTCTGCTAACTGTATAGCCTTTCGACACAAATGTTTCAACTTGAGTGCTGTCTGTACTTGGAAACTTTCAAGCTGCTCATGGACATCTCCAAGCATGGAGAAAGCACAATCTTTTAAAGGGACCATGCAATGCTTCCTCCCATTAGTATTTTACAAACACCAATATTTTACAAACAGCAAATTCCAATGTCCTGCCTCCCAATCCACAAATACTCTACTGAACTTTGCAACACATACCATTAACTGTATGAGTTTATTCCTAGTGTCCATAGAGGATCGGACGGCAATTTCCAGTCAATTCTCCTGCCCCATCTGACTCAAATCGGTGCAGGGACATGGAAATTCACTGTGGCATTGATGCTGCTGTTATTCATCCTGCACGGGGTTGCACATCTCCTGTCGGAGTAGGAATCAGCAGGTGCAAGTCATCCCATGCTGTATTTCTACATCTGTCACCACCCTACGATGAAGCAAGTTCGTGGTCTTCACTACACTAGAGACAGATCTCCTGGAAAATTAATGGCTGGCGCTGATGGGAAGTTCCTCTGGGTAGTGGCCTAGGCCCAACCACCATCAGCTGCTTTATCAATGACCTTCCCCCAGTCATAAGGTCAGAAGTGGGGATGTTCGCTGATGATTGCACAACGTCCACACCATTCGTGTCTCCTCAGATCTTGCTGGATTTGGGCAATATCTAGGCCCAAAAATACCAATGAGCATTTGTGCCACACAAATACCAGGTATTGGGCATCTCCAACAAGAGAGAATCTAAACATCGCCACTTGACATTCAATGGCATTACTATCACTGAAATCCCACTGTTCAGTACATCAATTTGCTGGAATCCCGAGCATAGGCTGATGCGTAGTCCTGATGGTCTTTTTCCACATGAAAGCTTACTACATAAATTTTGAAACAATGACACTTAAGCTTGAGATGAAGGGCAGTCCTGTCCCATGGTGTGTACTGCATTGCAGGCCTGGAATACAACACATAAATCTCAGTGGCTGCAAGTGTTCAGTCATCCATCCGGATGTACTAAGAGGCATCAGGTTAGTCCTGGAGCCAACTATTATCCTTTACATTTTACGGGTAGATGCACTTTCAATTTCCTGCTTTCAAGATGGAATTTCTGATTGAAATCCCACCATCAGAATTCCAATGTATTGGCACCAGTTGGAGGAAAGGGAATATCCTGTGCTCTGAGCAGATGCACTCTACAGAACAAAGCCATTATCTCATCTTCTTGGCTAATATTCAAGTGCATTGCATGATAAATTATTAGCTAAGTGGGATAGACTGAATTCATTAATAACCTTAAGCACTAGCATACTTCAGTGAGACACACACAGTGCTCTGAGCAATAGTCATCCCAACAGATTCTATAAAGAATCCTTGGGTTTTAAAATTACAGCATGATATTGGACTAACTACTTAGAATATCTAACCTGTGAAAGAATTTATACAGACCCTGGGGTATATGCCTTCTCAGAGATTAAAGTCAAACTGATTTAGAGCATTTACGAAAATGCTGTCATCAACTATCTTTAAAAAAAATGTTGTCAACAAACTGATGAATAGAATATTGATTACAATCCTGAATAAAAATGGTGCCCTCTGACCCTCATTCAGGAAACGAGTCCCATAGATTCGGGAAGTTCCAGCTGCCAAATGGTCTGAATATCTGCCAGGAAAGGCCAGAGTAGAGACCCTACTTTTAGCGGTGGGACACTCATGTGGATGTCAAATTTGAACTGGATCAGTCTCTGTTGTGATTTCCTCTTGTGACCAAATATTCTCTCCTCAGACAAATGCATGAATCATGGTCACTTGAGCAAGATGCGAGTGACTCACTGGGGCGTAATCAACAGTTTTTAGGCCCTTTTAAACTTTTTAATTCCAAGTGATGGTACTTCTGATAGTCCG